TTATAGAAATGCAGGTCAGGAGAGGAAATCAGAGCAGCCAGAAAGAGACCAAGGTGGGGGCTAACAGATTTTACAGGACCTGTTTTTACAGCACCACTCCAACCTTTAGAGCAGCCCATAGTGTGAGTGCATGCTCTCCTCCAGCAGTGGAGTCATGGAACTGGGTCAGGAGAACAACAAAAATGCCAGGGACAGAGGGGGTCACAGAGGAAGAAGTGGACTGGTGGACTTAACTCACAGTATCCCCAAAAGGGGTGAGGAACTCTAGGCTCAGCATAGAACAAGGTATGACAAAGAGTAGCCGGTTAAGGAAGAACTTTCAGTTCTTAGACAATAGGTTCTATATTTAACACATCCTTCATCAAATCATGTTAACTACTCAGGACTCAGACCCAACTTGTCCAAGCAAGCAGAATGGACCATTTACATAATCTAACTTTTCAGACTTCCAGTTTCCTCATTTTCCTGGTGGGGAGATATATACGTAATTTTTCATACTCTGCACATTGTACAATAGAGTACCACATTTAATAACACTGCAGCTGTGTTACGTGTGTGATTATGACACCATATTTTGGGGGAAGGAATTAAAAAATGGATGTGAACTTCTCTGTGCTAACCATGAAATGCTAGGTTTGTAAGGCACCACAGTCAAAATCACATCCTATTTATAATAGACCTGGGATAAAAGTTAGGCATTGAAGTGGTGTATCCACAGCTTCCCTTTAAGAAGATGTGAATCCAAAGTTTTATAGAGGGGTTTCTGCTTTTGTTTTAACCCCAGGGGTGGTTGTGATGTTGAAAACGTATTCGAAATGGAGGACTTCAGAAAGTAAAGTGACATTATAGGAAGAATATTACCAGTGTTAGCAGTTATTGCCTTTCCACAGAAACCCAAAATTGCTTTGTACAGCCTAAAAGAAGATAGTTCCTGAACTTTCTCATTCATCTTTTACAACTCCTGCTCTAATCCTTCTTGGATCTCATAGGTATATCTAATTGTACATGATAGAACACCACTTCATCTCAATAACCGGATTCATCCACAACCAAGGATGACAAGTCATTTCATGTAAACATGCTAATGCAAATTCTGTAAATTGGTTCAGTGAAAGTATAAAGTGACGAGTCACCACATACTATTGATTAGTGAAACTAGCTGCATCAGCAATTAAATATTAAAAGATTAATTATATGAGTATTATGTGGAATTTGTCTAAGACTCCTTACAGAAATACTATCTAGAGGCTTCTCAGTGGTGATTAAGATGCCATTATATTGATTTCTGATATAAATCTTTTCCAGACAGTAAATTTTCCAAATATTCAAGATGTCTAAAACTCATGTGATTTACAATTTTATTGTTTATTTTAAGCTTCACCCTTCTCATGGAAAAAACATACGATGCTTGCTCGCTTCTCGTTTCCCTTTCTACTCTTCATCTCTAACTTATCTGTAAGTTTAGGATCTTAAAGGAGATTTGCATTGTCAGGATACATGCATGCATTTGTGTTTTTTTGTTTTTTTTCAAAGTCTAAAGCATGCAAACACCTGAAATTTCTGAAAGTGGGTGCAACACACAAATGGACTTACAAACATAGAGCACCCCAGCGCAAACCACCCTGTAAACAAACGAAAAATCCCCCCAAAGCATAAGCTCCCCAAATTGCAAAATAAAGCAATGCAAGCACAAGAGGGACAAACGTCACTTGGTATCAGCTAACCCCAAGCTGAGGTGATCTTTGCACGCCTCGTTTTTGGAAGTTGGGGTGGAACAGGTAAGATTCAGCACAGCACTGTCTACAAGATTTTCATCCCAGTGGCAACAGAACAGAAAGTTGGCAAGCCAGTCCCGGCCCTCGAAACACCCCCCTGAAGCTTGACTGCCCTCACCTGCTCCCCTTCTCTCCTCTCTCCCCAGAAGAAGGCACTTCATGGAAACGTCTGGGAAAGCCCTTGGACTTTATTTTGTTACACCTTCTAAACGGACAAAAAACAAAAGAGAACAGGTGTAGAAGCAGTATTTTCAATTGGTCACCAATGCCCTCCTCCCTCCAACTCGAACACAGGCATACCCCAACACCAGGAATCGTTTGGGACATTTCAAAACAGGAAGCTTACACATCAAGGTGGCTGGTTTTAGTCAGCTTTTTTTTTTTTGTTAAGTTGAAAAATAAGGAATCGAAACTTTGCCATCTGTAGGGATTAGACGCCCGTTTTAGCCCTGGTATCAGCGAGTATGGCAAATACTAAGATGACTTTTCTCACTCCTAACTTCCTCGTCCACTTCTGCTTTGTTGCTGTGACAATCGAGTTGTCTTAAAATATCACTGGCATACAGAGCTTGACAGGAAATCTACTGTGTATCATTTAGACTCCCCTTGTGCCACAATTTTCTCTGACTTTGGTACTGTTAAATGAATCTGAGTTTTTCGTATTCCAGACAATTTCTTGACTACGGCATAGACTAGAATACAGTGACATGCCTCAGAGGAGACGGAAGAGCAGTGAGAAAGAAATAACCACATATTAAGTCCTATACTTAGTACCCCGTGTGGAAACATACACATAACCACTGTCTCTGATACTTGACCATGTGACCTTGCCACCCAAGAACACTTCAATTAATTATATTTAACTCTCAAACCACCTGGGCTAGAGGCTGTTACACTAAAATTACTTCCTATGCCTTGCAAACCCTGTTGGTAGAACAGCAAAGGTAAACTCAGATACAATAAAGCTCTCATTTTTTGATGTAGAAGCTCTGTGGAGTCACACTCAGAACCCTATACTCGTACATGATTCCAAAGAACACCTGTGAACCTCTGACTGACGAGGGAGGCAGTTTTCTGCTACTGGAATGCACATCCTTTACTTCAAGTGTTAGGTCAGAATTTTCTGGGTTTTTTTCTCCTCCCTTCCCCCAAGACATGTTTTCATTTATGATGATAATTATTCTATTCCATTTTGGATAAAAATGTTTGACATAGGAGCCACAGTTGAGGGAACATCAAAGTTTGGGACTAGGATTAAACAGGAGTGAGGGCTGTAGTTCCGAACATCCTGTCTCCCTCTATTGAGAACTTCAGGAACTACAACAACTGTCCTTAAAACATCACACACACACTCTGCGCGGCTGCAAACATTAATCTGAGGAAATCATGAGTGTGTCGGAATGTTTTTACAAATTTTCACAAAAACTTGAAATTTGCAGCTTTCTAAAATATTTAGACTTCCCCTCAACCCTTAGCCCTACTCTGAATTCTGCCAGATTCACTCTTTCGGAAATTTTGGAGCAGAGCCGGCTATCTCTGCAGTTTTTCCTCACACACAATCACAGGCGCTTAAAACTACCACCCGTAAACTGACAACACTTAGCTGAGAAGCAAATGTCATAAAATCAATAACTAATAACTGGAGCCATCGAGGGGGCTATCTGAGCAAACTGAGAGGACAAATACATCACCCATGGGAGAGAAGGCATTCAATGTTGACAAAGGTAAGGACAGGTGGTTTTCATGTAGGATACACCTAACACATAAGGAGTTTCCCCCTTCAGAGAATAAGCTTATATTTAAAGACATATCCATCCACCACTTCCCTAGTAGAATCGGTTCACTGTTTGAAGTGTCACAGAGCATGTTCAAATGGCAACCTTTAGCACCGAGTCTCTCCTCGCTTTTGTCTAATGACTCTGCGTTAGCCTGTTCCAAGAGCTTCGGCTGGTATCTCAGGGCCAATTCGACAGCAGGGGGTCGGTTACTATAACAACTGACAGCTATCGTGAATTCTGAAAAGCTCTGGAGTAGCCATTTGGGAAACAGTTATTGAGCAAAAAGTTGCCCAGGATGCGCAGCATTAGAGACACGTGACCCCAATCTCCCTGTACACAGCTGCACAGAGAGAGGGAAAAAAAGGCACCCACCTCCAGAACAGCTGGGGACCTCACCAGGCTCTCCACCCCCATCCCTTGTAGCACCTCAGAACAAGATGGTTAACGGCACAGAGTCATCATAAACTCAAACCCTCGGAGGCAAGACATATTCTGGCTTCATGAAATACACATCAGATATTCCCACTGGCTTGCCACATTGTCAGGCGATGACAAAGAGCAGAACTAAAAATTATTTTTAATAATTAAAAAAAAAAATCTTTTTTCCCCTTGAAACATGGCCATAGGTACAGGTTCCAGAAAGGGATAAAAGGCACAAGAAGTCACCAGTTTTGAAAGGATAAAATGATGGCCTGAACTCGCACAGTCTGGTGAACAACCAGTTTGCTTAGGAGGGTACAAAGCCTGAAAAACCTGAGACTGGAGAAAAGTTGTGTATCAACCTGTTGTTTGATTCTTCTCCTGACCCTCAGCAGCACAAGAGGACAATTAGCAGCTTGGACTGACATAATTCCTTCATATGCGCAGGATCCACTAGAAGAGAATCGGATTTTACCATTTTGTAACAATAGATTTGTTCCATCTTGTTTTGTTTGTAGGAACGAACAAACAAAGGCTTTTCCTGTAGAGTGTAGTTCTACTCTGAAACACAAGGGGTCATCATGAGTCAGAATCGACTTGATGGCCACTGGACTTCCGCCCTTTAGTCAGGTGCTACTCAAGTCCCTCTGCTTGGAGCACCTGCCTTTCTTTGCTCAGTGACCTTCACAACTCAAGACTCCTCCTCCTCCGAGAGCCTTTTCCAGGCATGTTTCCCCCTCTGGGCACTCACAAGTGGTGATCAGAGTCCCTCACTGAGCACAATTTATCACCACAGCAAATGTATGGGCCTGGCAGGAGAGAGCAGGACAGGTAGACACAGGCAAAGTGGAGAGCAGGTGCCCTCAGAACCACGAGGGCCACCGAAGGGTTAGCACCACCGAGCACACAAGAGAACCACTGCCAGACTTTTCTAGTTATCATAAGAACCCAGGAAGTTGGGGCTTTTTAAGTGAAAGCTTCCTAATTTCAAAAATAATTCGGATTTCAACAACTAATATGCTCTGAAACAAATCAAGACTGGTGGCTGCTTGTCCTGTTTGGGGTGATGTCTGTTTATATCTGTATGCCTCCAGGAAGCTACGGGGCTGTTGACAACAGGCACCTGTCTCCCCTGTGACTCCCCAACACATACTAGGTGTTTAAAAAATATCCGTCAATGAACAAAGGGGTAAGTGCCCAGCCACAGGTCTTAGGTCAGAAAAACCTCAAGATGCAACAAAAACTCGAGAGTGAATAACTGCGAAACCTAGCTGTGTGAACCTGGAGACCTAGGAGATGAAGTCCCTGGCACCCTGCCTGCCACGCATACATAACAACTCTGAGGAGCACACATATAACATGTGTTTTGCACTCAATCCAGCCATTACTGACTGCTATGCTTAGCACCTATTGCTTCACACGGACTCCTGGTGTGGCACTGTAGGATCAGCACTGGACTGTGAACCGTAAGATCAGCAGTTCAAACCCACCAACTGCTCCTGGGAAACCCTGTGAGTTGGAACTAACTTCGACAGCACTTAACAACAACAACATACCTCCTTTAGGGTTGTTGGTGTGGTACTGTAGGATCAGCACTGAACTGCACACCACAAAGTTGTGAATTCAAACCTACCAGCTGCTCTTCGAAAACCGTATACAGTTGAGTTGGAACCGCCTTGACAGCACTTAACAACCGCAGCAATAACATTCTTTCACAAAGGAGCCCCCTGGTGGTGCCAGGGTTAAAAGCTTGGCTGTTAACTGAAGGTCCATTCAGTGACAGAGACAAGACCTGGCGATCCGCTCCTGTCAAGGTGCTAGCGTATTGGCAGTTCTCCTTTGTCACAGGGTCATGAGGAACTGACAACTGATGTGACAGTGTTCACCAAGAACAAAAATCTAAACCAATGTCACTTCTTACATGGGAGAAACCGTCCTTATAATACTTCTGTCCTGTGTGACAATGGTGGGGCAGGAGGGGGCCAAATGCCTAGAGCACATGAAGCCACCAGCAAGTGCTCAGACACGTGGGCTGAGAGCAGATGGGAGAGCAGCGTGTGTGTACTGGGCCACAGCAGTGCCGGTGTCATTGGGACAGCTTGGGGAATACAGGAGGGATCCACTTTCCAGCGAGGCACATGTGGTCAGTCCTTCCACAAGCAAGAGAGGGGGGCTACCACATGCCCACACTTGACTTTCACACACATCTGTTTGTTTGCTGAGCCTCCATTATGTCAACACAGATACCCACACATTTGCCGTTTTCATCCTTTCATATTTATTACACGCTGTCTCCCGCTGAACATCCCAGGGAAGAAAACAAATGCAGTGTCAACAAAACTCATGAACAGTATTCCTAATGAGGAGGCACCAACACATGACAACATTTCTAGAAGTCTAAGGATGGGACTCTGAGTAGTGAGTAAAAGACTCTCTTTTTTGCCTAGGTGGCCAAATTGGTATCGACTGATTTACCACACGGTTTACAGATGGCTTGTTCATGTGCTGAAAAGGGGTATGGATTTATGTGAGCAGATGGAGAAGTCATGGTCATCCTAAACTTGAACAAACCTGGGCCAGATGTTACAACTCCTACTCAGTAGTTTCACTTTCAGATTCCAGGAACTGTGTAGGTAGCTCAGGTCATCTGATACTAAGAAGTACTGCTGCTCCATACTTCTGGAAAGTTTTCTTCCAAACGAAAATTTTGATCAAGTAAGATGCTTAATTGGTTATCATGGTAACTAGTACTGATCAGCAAGAACTAAGACAGACCAAATAGTATTCAACATCAAGATCTTCTCAAAGGAATGAAGCCACGTTCTCAAAGTAATGGAGCAATGTTATTGTTATGTTAGGTGCAATCCACTTGGTTCCAATTCATAGTGACCCTGTAGAGGGTTTCAGAGGAATGTTGGTGGGTTTGAATCACTGACCTTGTAGTTAGTAGGCCTGTGCCACACCAGGACTCCTATGGAACCATAATTGAGTAGACATCTCATTATTC